AAATAGCTGAAAATACAGTAGAAGTTCAATTAAAAGGCCCCGCAAGAAGCCTTACCAAGATAATCCACTCAGGCCCCACAGGAGTGAAACGCAGTTCAAGTCCGGCTCTTTTCGAGCCCCTGTGCCTCCTGGTTTACCGCTGAGGGCTGAGCTGGGCAATGCTCCTTGATGGAAATGGGTTTTTGGTGCGAGGATTTGGCATTTTGAAATGCGCACTGGCTCTTGTGTGCAAATACACAGGAGCATATGTGTGTTTCGACAAAATTGCACACATGCCTCTGGTTGCCAAGGTTTAGACAAGCGGTCCACACTTCTATGGAATCTGCACGATTTGGAAAGAGCAGTGCCAAGTCCACAGTTGGATTCCTAGAAATCGGAACTGGCTTGGGTCTGCTGCCGAGGTCTCGGGCATCCCTTCGCATACGCGAACCATCCCTTGGGTGAGCGGGCTGAAAGCAGGTGTCCACCGAGCCTTTTCGGAGAGAGTCAGATGGAAGGGCCGAGTGTGATTACTGTTATCCATCACAGACCCTTCAAGAGTAACAATCTTGGATAATCAGCATGTCACTGCTCTCTCTGGCTGGCCCCTGGCAGGAGAGAAAGGCAAGGCGGAATGGGGGTGTGTGTGGAATGCAAAAATCTGCTTTCATTCAAACAGGAAGGCAGCCACTGGGGGTGAGTTTCTAAGCAGGGGTCAGCAGCCTTTCTTAGAACCACCTTTGCAAAGAAAACGAAATGATTCTCTTCCTCTCCTCCCCCAAAGTTAGAGACGTTATTGTTATTCCACCAGAACTTTCTACATGTAAAATAAAAATGCTGATGTGCCCAAACCACACTGAAAGGGCGTTAAGGGGAGGAGGAAGGGGAGCTGCAGAGAGAGAGAGAGAGAGAGAGAGAGAGAGAGAGAGAGAGAGAGCGCGCGCACGCGTGTGTGTGTGTGTGTGTGTGTGAGAGAGAGAGAGAGAGAGAGAGAGAGAGAGAGAGAGAGAGAGAGAGAGGGTGGGGGGGGAGATTGGAAGCTTCTTAAAGGCAGGGCCCCGTGGTTGTATTTATTATGTGTATAGGTCAGCTTTTAGGGGAGGGCATTCTGGGGTGCAGGAATGCAAACAATTCCCCCCATTTGGGGGAAGATGGGCATTGTAGTCTAGCACATCTGCAAGAAGTCATGTTGGGCAAGGCTCTTGCTTGCGCACAGACACATTCACAAATGCACACGCACACCACAGTAAGAGCCAAAATCCAGCAGAGGCCAGCATTGTTTTAAAAAGTAACTTTTACCATGAGTTTCAAAACTTTAAGTAAAACCAAAAATAAACACAGACATTGGATTCGTTCCCCAAAGCAATGGCATGGATCGATTGCTGCGGATAGATCCAGAAGATCCAGGTTCAAGTCCCTGCTCAGCCATGAAAGCTCATTGAGTGTCTTTGGGCCAGTCAGAGACTCTCGGCCTAACCTGCCCTGCAGGGTAGTTACTGTGGGAATGAATAAAACAGGAGGAGGTCCTCATATGCCTTTCTGGGTTCCTCGCAAGAGGAAGAATGTAATACAATGTAGTAGTAATGTTTATACAGCAAAAAATGACAATATTTTAAGGGATAGTTATACACAGGAAGCACCAAAAGCAGCAAGGTGCGCACGCATTTGCCCATGTGTAGATTATGTCCCCAGACCACACATTCGAAAGTGTCCTCAAGGCATTGCACTGTCACAGGTGGGCCCTGTTCCTTCTCATGTTGTCATTCTTGTCTTTTAGCTGGTGCAGAGAATCTGTTTGTGTTGACCTTGCATGAAGTTCCAGGAGGCAGGAAGGGAGTCAGGAAGAGCGTGTGGTCTGTACTGATCAGAGGTCTTCCCGTCCACAGAGCCCAGCATTTCAAGGTTCCTGAAATCAAGGATGCCCTAAGCGGCAGAACCTGATATCCTGGCCCTTTGTGCCTGAAGCGTCATCGCTCGCCGGACTCGTGTACCAAATGTGCTGGGTTTTTAAATGTCACTGTGAAAAATTAGTTTCTCTCCCTGCCTCCGCCCCACACGGAGGGGCCTGGCCCTTGCACGCACACACAGAGACAAGCACCATCTCTTTACCTACAGAATCCCTTGTCTGTAGGTAACAGACCTGCAGACCACCCCGAAACCAGCACTTTAAGGACAAGGTTACTTCCCGACTGCAGAGAGCAGTTTGCTGTTCTGTCCCTGCCTGCTGCAAGGGGCAGGGAAAGGGGAGGTCCTTTGACTCCGGCTCCAAGGTCGGCGCTCCGTCTCCAACCTGGGAGCTGGGAATCAGAACAGTCTGGGGTCTGTAGGATTGCCACCCCCCCTCCTAGAGCATTTATTTACCCCCTCCTTTTCTTATGCCCCCTGTATGCTAATTCTTATTATATTGGCAGTTGCATTTCTGTACTGCTGAATTGCTGGAGCTCCCTGGGGGGATCACAGCTCTGTGCAATGATGATGACATACTAATTAACTGAAGGTGCAATCCTGAGCAGGTGCAGGCATGCAGAGAGAAGTGCCAGAATCTTCTGCATGTCCCTGGCAGCCATGCGTGCTGCGGCATGCTGGGACGGTCAGACTTTCTCCTGCCTACGCATGCATCGGCCGGCGCCTTATTGCGGCTAGGTTCGGAGCACGCATGGCTTTGAGAAACGTGCCGTGGGCCCGTGGCTGTGCGTCAGGACTGGATCTCCCGGGCGCCTCGTTCCTGATGTGGTTCATGCCCGGCACCAGTTCCAGGCCTGTGGCTGCATCCACACCAGGGGCAGGGCAGAGGTCAGTCCAGGCCTCCGAGCTGGTGCCTACGTGGCTTGCAGTCACAGGGGCTATTAATCCTCCAGCAGCAACCAACATTTTTTCTCCCTGCCTCAACAAGGTTGCTGCAAAAGAACACCAGGGAAAAACCGGGGATGGGCTTTGGGTGAAAGGACCTGCACTTGGCTCTGGTACGGATCCCACTTCCCTGGGCTGAGCATGCGTCCAGAAGCATCTTGCTCCAGAATCATTATCTGGCTGCTGGATCCTTTGGGTTCTGGAGACAACTCAGACAAGGTAGATCCCACAAGCCTGAAGTCTTTCCATCCCTGGTTGATGCTCCAAACTTAGCCAGGTTTAACTGCTGTGCGGCTTCAGCTGAGCCTGCTGCAAAGGCCTTGGGGGTTAACCGTGGTCTTCAGCATGCGGTGGAGCTCTGGTTTGAGTCTGCTTCCGTTGGGAGAGACCGTAGCTCCGTGCATCGTATGCCGAAGGGCCCGGTTGAATCCACGGCTCGCTCCTTCAGGTAGTCCAAGGAAGCATCCGGCCTGCAAACTAGGGGAGCAGCCACTGGTCACTACCGGGCCATATGGACCCACGGTCCAAGATCTAGCCTGGCAGCTTCCCCCGTTCCCCTGCACCCTGGTTGGCAGGAATCTCTCAGGTGTGCACGAGGACGTGTCAGATGCCCTGCCAGGCTGGCCTGGCCCCGTGTCCCTCTTCCCCAAGCCGCAAAGCAGCCCTGTCCAGACGAAGAACACCCCCAGGCCCCGCAGGGAACCGATGCGCCTTCCTACAGGTGCTGAGAAGAGAAATGCCCGCCCACCCTTCCTGCTCAGTAGCCCAGGCCAGAGTGGACCCAAGAGGGGGCGCCCCGGCTGTGCTGGGAGTGCAGCATCCAGAATTCCCAGCCAGACGGTTCCCAGTCCTGGCGCAGCTGGAGGGCCCCGGCTTAGGCCAACAGAAGCCCGTCGCACACCTGCATCCTGCCTGTATGAAGCTCGCCGTGCCCCTTGGCTCACTCCAGCAGCCGCGCCGGCCCCCTTGCACCCCGGCACCGCAGAGAAGGTGCCCTGGAAGGCCGGCAAAGAGCCGCAGGGCCACAGCTGGACGCATACGGGCTGGCTGGGCAATTTTAAATAACCAGCAAACCTTGGAAAGCAGGTGTGAATCCTCAGCTTGGTTAGCCGTGCCTCTAAATTACAGAGGAATTACGGAGGGGAGAACACGAGGGGGAAGGTCCCCAGCAGACCATGGGCCTTCTGCACAGAGCGACCTCTGCTTCGGCTGGCAACCTGGCCTCCGCTCTCCTTCCCATCAGAGACAGGAGGCAGGCAGAGAATGAGTTAAAAGAAAAAACCCTTCTACTTCCGGATGTGTTCATAGCTCAGGGCTGCGAAAGTGGGAGAGAGCAAGCCAGGGAGAGCGCATCTCTCTTTCTGTGCCTCCCCTCCTCCCCGCTCCCGTTTCTTCTTTCCACATATACAGAGGGAAGCCAGCGAGCACCTCAGAAGCGAGCGCAGGCAGCGAGGGGAAAACGCAGGCAGCCTCTTTGATTACCATCCCGATTTTTAAAGAGAAGAGACCCTCAGAAGGGCCAGCACCGGTTTATTTCATCTTGCATTTTTTTAAAAAGAGCCACACTCCCAAGCCAGAGGCAAAGGGCTTTTCTGCAATTTCCTCCTCTCTTTCTCCCCCCCCCCCCCCCCCGCGCCCGCTGCCCGTTCAGATCTTCTGCTGCTTTAAGAGGAGGAGACCGGGGGAGCTGACAAGCCCGGCTTGTGTCTCTCGCCCCCCCCACCCCTCCCCACATCGCCACCTCTCTGTTTGCTGAGTAGAGGGGGGGCCGGGGTGGGAGGGAGCTGAATTCTCCTTGGTGGAGATGCTGGGTGGGGGGGCTTCTTGGGTCCTCTGAGCCCCCCCACTCTCGCACCTTCTGCCCCGCTTCCCCTTTCATGCCCTGCTTCTTGCTTTGATAGGATTGCAACCTTAACCATCACTAGGGAGGGCAAGGAGGCAGAGGAGATGCCTGTGATTTAAAGGAGAGAAGAAGAAAAGGGGGGGGGGGAGAAAGAAGAGAAAAAGAAAGGGGGAGAGAAAGGAGTGTGAGGCGGGCGAGCGTTTCTTGGAGTAGGGGGTGTTGCTGGCGTTTGATCATTACACACCCCTTCCCCCCCCCCCAAACTACCACCGGTTTGTTGATATTTTTTTTTTTTCCTGCAAAGACCATAAGTCACTTCAGGTCTGACATCGTTCGGCACTTGATGGACAGCTACGACAGCAGAAAGGCAGAAGAAAAGGGTCTACTTGGGAGAAAGGAGATACCTGCAGGCAAGAAAACAAGCGCCAGTGCCCGTTGCCTCTGTACACAAACAAACATCCAGGCAGATTTCTCATGCCGGCTGCCTCTAGCTAGCTCGCCTACTTAGGTTGGTTTTGTATATCTATATATCTATATTTGGAAAGACCTTTGGAAGGTTTAATTTTTGTAATTTTTTAAATTATTCATATTATTACCCTTCTCCTGAGCCATCCACAGAGAAATTGCCCCTTTCTGGGGAGGAAAATAGACTAGAGAAACAAAACAGACCTCTCTTGGCAACAGTTTCTCTTTTTCGTCGTTGATTTTGTTGGAGTGATGGGCTTGGGGAAGGGGCCAAAATGAAGGATCTCCGGTTTGGACGGACCTGAAGCTTCCCTGGCCCCCCCAAGAGCCAACTCCCCCAGGGGGGAGAGGCAACCAGGAAAGAAAACCCCGGAGAAAAACCGTCCGAGTGTCCGATGGCACAAAGGGTAAGCCTAGATTTTGTTATGTCTTCGATGGAAGGTGTTCTGGCCTGGATGGGTCGCTTAAAAAGCACAATAGAAAGGGTAGCGACCGACTAGTTTAGCTTTAAAGGGTGGCTTTTATTGCTGCTGCTTTCAAGGGGGAAAATGAAGAAATTTTAAGGCTGTGAATTATTCCCACAGTTCAACTTGGAACTGATTCCTGTGCTCTAAGTTTGAACTGCCCCTTTTCGAAGCTCATTTTCCCCACTCACAAATACACACACTCTTCCTCTGTCTTATTTGTAAATATTTATCTCCCTACTACCCTGGTTTGGCAAGTGGGATTTTGAGGAGGGGGCAGAAGGGAGGGAAAGGGAACTACAACTAAAAAACAACCACCACCACCCTTTTCTGGGAGCACTTCGCTTTCAAGGGAGTAAAATAGCTGTCACTTTTAAGTGACATAAATAGGAGCCCTTCCCCACCCCCAATCCCCGGTTTAACTCTGTGGCTTAAAAACCTGACCAAAGATTGACTAATGTGTTTCTGAGCATCTGCATGGCAAACTTTAGCAAAATATGTGCTCCGAGTGTAACTTTCCCCCTTCTCCTTCTCCTCTTAATCTCATGCAGGGCAAGCTATTTCTTGACTTTCTCCAGCCTGTTTGGCTTTGATTTTCTGTTGCTCATTTGAAAGCCTCAATGGGGATGCTTTGTGGCATTTTGTGATGCTTTTCTAAAGTTTTTCCAGTCCCTTCTTCCTTCTGACCCTCTCCATGGAGCGGCAGAAAATATCTCGCTGGCTTGAAAGGCTGGGGTTAATACGTCTTCAATGTGGCTGTTTGTAAGAAATTCAGACAACTTTGCATGGGATTCTGCTCCCAAGCACTTATGTCTGTGAAGGATGAAGGCAGCCCCACATTTTGAATTTCAGCTTTGATATTTGCTGTGGAGCTGTGGGTCCATGTAACGCAGAACGAAAAACTTCCTTCCGAGAGATTACACATTTCCAGCGGCTCTTGAATTCTAGAACCTGATGGAAGGAAATGCAACTTTCACTTACTTTTTTTAATTTAAAGGCAACCTTTTTAGAAACTACTCTGTCCATTCTGATTAAATTTTTCTACCTTACAAATTAATCTTTCCTCTGAAGTGGAGAGGGGGGAAAACACCCTTTCCAAACTTACATCAAGGGCTCACTCTGCTGAAAGAATTCAAAATACTGATCAGAAAGTGATCAGTATTTTTAGAACCAGCATTTGGAATGGCTTTTGCACCAAAGAATTTAAAAATGATTTTTTTAAAAAATCAGGATACCACAAACAGATCCCCAAGAAATTAGATATATTTAATTTTATTTAAAAAGCTGTTTTGAAAACTGCCCCTGTCCAAAGTGAAGTCTGCAGAATTTAAAGGAAAGCTTTGCAAAATATGAGAGAGCCAGAAAGTTTAAGCTTATCTTGCTCTTCTGTGCGTGTAACAGCTGACATAAGGCATGATTTAAATAAGAATGCTGGGGGGGGGGGGGG